TGTCATGGAGCACACCCCCTTTCAGGGGAAGCTCTGCCTTGGAGCTCCCTAAGAAAAAGTCATGTCTGCTCTCCCTCTTCTGTAAGGTCCTAGCATGCCCTCTTGAGGGGCAAGCCTCTGGGTCAAGACCCTGGCTCTTCTTTGTCCCACAAATCATGGTACCCTAACCCCTGAGGGCTCCTTCTTTGGTCAGCTCCTAGGAAGGAAGAGTGTTTTCCTTTTCAAGGCAGGAGGGAGGGGTGTCAGTGCTGACATCCCAGACAGCATAGTAGATGACTCTGATCCAAACAAACACTCTTTACTGTGCAAGCCCCATTGCCTTTGAGCTTCCTGGAACAGTTATACTCTCTCTAGCAGTACAGTACTTTTTCTCTCCTCCACAGCCCTCTCAGGAGGGGGAAGGCACACTCGCAATAAAACTGTTACAAAAATACAGTATTTAATACAGGGACTAACAGGAACCCAAAAAAACTAAATATAATGGTATGGGGAAATCAATGAAGGACTAGCCTCCACCACCAGCTGCCAGACCCAGACTTCCATCTCCCCTGGGGTGACAAATGCATACAAGTGTGACGCAGCCTGGACAGCCTTTGCTGCTTTTGGGACCTAATAGTTCTGCCGATGCCTAGAGGCCCAAGGCTACCAAATGTTCCAGAAAATACACAGGGCAAAGAGATACCTCCTTCTGTATCTAAGACAACTTTACCAACCTCTTCACTGCAGCGGTCAACTGGAGGACCTGGAATACCTGTTTAATCTAAGCATTGTATCTTGATTGCCCTCAAAAACACAGTAAGACTTTTTGACATTTAAACTAGATTGACATTTCAACACTTTAAAAATACTTTGAAAAGTAAACTCTTTTACCTATGCCTTTCTGGTACTTCAATCCTGTGACGTGGGTGCTCTTCTAGGCTGCTGCTGTAGACGGTGTTGTCTCTGATGTAGATAAGTATGCACTACAGCCAACCTTTGACTGACAAGCCTCAAAAATAGCTTCAATTTAAACAGTAACACTCTGAATACATAGAGTCCCAAGTCCAACTATAAACAGACATCCTCTCCTAAGGTTTGCTAGTGCCCTTTGCTTGAGATCAGGAAAGTCTTCACGCATCCATCAATAGGGCAATTGTGTTCCTGCTGCAGTAGTTCTGCACTCCAAGTGGTTCACCTGAGTATCCTTCATCCTCTACTTACATATTTTTGCTTGGGTTCCTGCTACCTGCACCCCTTGAACCAGGAAACTTTTCAGGATTCTGGGTCAGGACTCAGAGATATGCCTCAATCTGTGTGGAGAAGGGTTTACTCTCTGCTCCTGCATAAACTGCTTGATGTGAGACTGCATAAATGGCATCTTCAAATCAGAGGATTAGTGATCTCCACCTGCAGGGTTAACCCTGCAGCATCCCCTTGCTGGAAGCTGTCAGGAGCAACTCTTTGCTTGTTGCTGGCCATCAGTAACCTCAGTTTCCCCTCCCTTCTTCACAAACTATGTTTGGAGTCCTTGTCATGGGGGGTTGCCCCGGTAGTTTTCTGGGGTATTGCATGTCCACCCTCACTTCTAAGGGGATTTCTGCACCTGCCCTATTGCCAACACAGCACTAGCTGCTATTTGCAGTTTCTACTTCCCCCTGTTCAAAGGCTGTTACTGTCTTGCCAGGGACATAAAACTCCTTTCTGACCATCCCTTCCTGGATATCATAGATTTGGGCTCCTAAATTCTTCCACTCCAAAAACACCTTGCCATTATCCCTGGCCTCTTGAGCATGATCCATGTTCCTTAGCAAGAACTCTGGCCAATTGCTTAGTGAGGACCTTGACTGACCTCCCTTAGCACCCAAGTCTTTTGACTGGGATCTATTCTCCTTCCTCATCAACTCAGGATATGGAGTTTTCAAGTGTGGATCTACTAAACACTTGAGATTTCCTGGAATCTACCACTTTCCGCAGAAGTCTTCTACCGGGCTGAGAAACTAGGAGGGTCATTAGCTACTGTTAGGCTTACCCCCTACCTTCTTCCTTTCCTCATTAACTGGGGGCAGTAGTTTAGGATCCATCTACCCCAAAGAGTTGGGCTGATCCTGACCTTAGACTCACTGTTTCAGGAAGACTAGAACTTCTCAGTGTCTCTATCTCCAGCTCAAGTTCTGTTTTTGTGGTCACTGTTCATAAGCTTCATCCATAGTTCCTCCAACTTAAGCTCCCTTTCCTTCTGCAGGCTCCATCACTCTAGCTCAGTGCATCTTTCGGGATCAGTTTCTGCTCAGTCAATCCACCTTCTGGCTTATTTCTGCCTTCAAACATACTGGTTTTAGGAAAGAGAAAAGTTCTTTTGTCCTTTCCATTACTTCTGCCAGCAGTGTCTGCAGATGTAGTCACCCTCGGTTTGATTCTGAAAATGTCTATCTAGACACGAGCAACACCTGATGAAATATCATGGAAGTGAACATGGAACATCCAAGTATTTATTACAAATTGTGTGCTTGCAGCAGTTCCAACACTGAAGTTGTAGAATTGTGAGATACATTTTTGGTTCGAGTTCCAATTGAAATGCCATCCAGGTAGTGAGGCAAGGGAATGGCATAAGATTGAAGGACAGGTCCTGCTGCAGCAGAATACCCTCCCTTTGCTATCAGCTGATTAGCAGGAGCATTTTCCTGTAGTGGGAACCACTATATCTGTGGCAGGTGAGGAAGCTATACATGGAGGTTATGTTCATGGTTGTGCGTGTAGTTTTAATAAGGTCAGACAAAGGATTTGCTTGGGATGGTTTGAATAGGGATGGTCCTGCCTCAGACAGGGGCTTGAGCAGATGACTTCTAGAGGTCCCTTTCAGACTATACTCTATGATTTTTATAATCCTCCCAGAACAGCAGAAAGGTTGTTCCTGGAAAGAATGGCCCTTAGCTGCTCTCCAGCCCACCTGTAGGAGCACAGGAGGAAACAATAGGGGGGAAGTGGACAGAACTGAACAAAACACCTTCTATAAAACAAAAGCTAGAACCTGAAAATATCCCATGTGGCTGCTAATCCACCTAATCAACTTTGTAAGTATTCTGCTTTCACCAGAAAGGTGCATTGATTTAAGAGTTTTAATTATATTTTAAAATAAGTTTAAAAAGCAGCTTTGAATTAATTGATATTTATTGATTTGCATTTGTACTTTTAAACTCTCCTTTAGGAAAATAACTAATTGATAGTTCAACCATTAAAAATGCAATAAACAAGTAATACACATTAAACTGGCATTAAGTGACTTTGATTTAAAAAAAGTCATAGGAACCAGACACCTAAATACTTTGGAAATCCCACCCTTAAGTCCTTTGTTCAGTAAGCCCACTCAACCCAGCCATTCCACTATTTAAGTTCATATGTACCAGCTCAGTGGGGATAACACTGGCCATATTTTGTTTGTATGCCAAGAGATTCAGGACAGAAAAAATGTAGTAAGGAATGCTTCTAGAAGTTTATCCCACTGGATCCAAAATATATTTGCGAACGTTATATACAAACACATTTGCCTTCCATTAATGATATATAATCTATGGGTGTGTAAGTAAATGCTCCATGCATGTTTTATAGCACTTTTTATAGGACTATAAAAGTTACAGTGCTCTTAAAAATGACAGAAGTGCAATGTTTGCTGGGGGAGCCTCTGAGCCTCCCTGCACTTTCCAGGCTAGGCAGCAGGGGGCACTCTACAGCCTCCTGGAGCTTCTCCAATGGCCAGAAATCTAATCAGGGTACAGAAGTTACTTAAAGCATTGTAGGTTGCTAAAGTGCTGTAAAATATGACACTTCAAATTTAATACCTCATTTAACAAGGGTTATTTGAAAGTGCTGTACCTATTTTTAGAGTGCTGTAAAGCCATGCACTTCTGTTAAGTCACAGCAATAAAGCACTTTACATGGTTAAAAAAAAAAGCAGCAACTTCCATACTAATATAAAAAGCCATTAATGCAGGGTGTGTATCACCTAAAATACAGATAATTTCACTAAACCTTGTTGCTCTGGTCAATATGGAAGACAATGCAACAATCCCCATTTAAAGGAAAGGTGTGGGGGTGGGATAAGATCAGTACTTCACATGCAGAGACCAAACTACCATTTCCCTTCCTGCCCCCCCGTGGGTCCCTCTACCAACTGAAATCGAACAAAACGTATTATTGGCCTACCCTCATATTACAAATGCCAAATTGTAAAATCAGCTTTCCCGCTTAAGAGCAGTTTTAGCATTCACTTGCTAGTCCTTTAGATTGGACACTCTTGGCTTGAAGTTATTTTAAAAAGACCAGACAATAAAGGACATCCTTCATCCCTTGTAAACAGATTGATTTGTCACATGTACATCTGGGCTAATGGTAAATGAAAACACCAAGGAAGAGAGAGGGGTTTTCAAAGCATCTGGAATAAAGTTTAATGTGTTCAGTTTATGAATTAAGGAAGTGGTGCATGTCACTGCAAATCCTTAAAAACTACTGTTCATAAGTATAAAAAAAACAAAACTTATACTGGTAGTGTATTAAAAATATTCAAAATAAAAGGATTCCTTTGTTAGGTTGTTAAACTTTTAACTTAAATTCTAAATGAACAGTGTTAGCTGTTGTGTTTATACTGCTAAGTTTTGAAACAACACAATTTAGAAGTTACAGCCTTTAAAAATAAAAGAAGTAGTCGGCAAGAAATTAGAATTTCAGTGTCATAAGTTTACGTTTATGAAATAAAAGCCATTAAGACTGTACGAAAGCTAGAGACGAGAAATTCTTTTGTGGAAACCTCTAAATTCAAAGTCAGTTATTAGAAATGGTACAAATTCCAAGCTCATTAAAAAAACAACCACCTTTTAATAATGTCTTCTTGCACCAACAATTCCTTTAAAAAAATTGTACAGAACTACCTTTACAAAGTCATTTTAGATTTTCGGTGATTATGTTTGTTACCCAAATGGAATGCAAACATTTAAGACGCACACTGGATATTAAAAGCATAATCAGGATACATTTTGGTATATGGAAATTTTATTTATCATGCGTATTAAACTGATACAGATTTGCTACACAGTTACCACAGCAATTACAATTCTTAAGTTACAAAAATAGTTATCACCCATTAGCATCTCTATATCTTAAGCAATTATATATTTTCTCTCTACAATGAACAACAGTGGTTAAATTTGTGGAAAAAATGTCTCCCTAAACCAAAAGGAAAGACAATGTCATTAATTACCTAAATTAGTATTTAACTGTAAAAGTCTTAGTGCCAATAGACATCCATCTCTAAAATTTTAAGGCCTGTTCCCCATCACTAACAATAAGAATGGCAGTATGCTTATACTATGGTGCTACTACCATGGAAAACAGATTGCATTTTAGCACATTGTACAAAATACATTTGTTTTTGACAGCTCCATTATATTTGATTTCTATCCTGCACTTTTCACTTACTAGCTAGAAACTGCTCTTGCCTGAAAGGCCCATCAAGAGTCAACTGGTAGGAACATCCATGTGCCAAAGCAGGACCAGGCAAGTAGGAAACAACACAGCAAATAGGTTACCTTTCGATTAGAGGAGAATAAAAAAGTTCAAGATCAGCTTTAACAAAGAAGAGAAAAGAAACCTGGATGATTAATCTTACATTTGCTCACATTAAACCTATGTGCTTTAAAAAAAGCCACAACCAAACAGAAAACAAACAAAAAAACCAAAACCCCAACCTCCAGTTTTTTGTTAAGTCTTGTACATTTCAAATTACTTCCGGTAAATTGAACTGAATTAATAGTTACTCTAAAAAAAGGTAAAAGGTAAACCTAATAACATTGCCAAACTTGTGGTATCTGTCAAAGTGTTAAACAAAAATAATCTGAGTTCCAATCCAGGACCTGATCCTGCAACTATAATGTACATGATGAACTGGAAAATGTGACCTTGCTGTACTGAAGTTAACAGCAATTTTTATACAACAAAAAGGGATTGCAAGTAGTTAATTTTAAACAAGATCTTATCACAAAATTAATATACATTTTTAGATGTTACACACACACTGTAAATAAGAGTAGCAAATTATTTTTCAGCTTTTAACAACTGAAATCTTGCCTCTTCTGTAGTTATGATAACACTCCAAATAAGCTTCAGTTGTTTTCATCCAACTTTAAACAATCAAAACGTGTGTAAAATGTATAACTTAATTGCTTAAATTGCTAACTGTGCACACCATTTTTAAACACCAAAAAAAGTCATATATACTTAAGCATACCACAACTTTGGAATTCTGAAGTGAATACATCCCTAAGACAATTTGTATCAAAGTCACCTAATGCACAGTTTAAAAAGTTGCTAAAACAGAAGTTACAAATGTAGTACAGTCATGTTAATATTAAGGTCATGCACACTTCAGAAGTGCATTAAAAAATTGACATTATACTTTATACCAAATAGTTACTATAAAAATACTAATCTCCACACCATAATTTTGAAAAGTAATTATGAGACCTGTTACAGTTTTAAGATGGAAAAACAAAGATGGGGCAGGGTAAGGAGAAGCAGGGAAAGGAAGGAAGGTTCTTTCCTCCCCTGTAGTTTTGAAATTGAGGAGTAAGGATTATGTATAATCTTTTAGGCTAGGTACAGATGTTCAGTTTCTAACCAGGAGAAATCACTGTTCTACCAATAGAAATACCAATAGAAACCAAGAATGTATTCAGGCTGTTTCTCACACAGCAAAAATGGCTGTTCCAGGAAAAAAAACAAGACAAAAACCATGGAACAACAAGGGTTAAAACTGCCCCTGGAAGAGTTTCTCTTAGAAGATTGAACAATGGGCAAGGGGAAGCCATACAGTTGGGATCCAGGCATGGAGCAGCTTTCCTGAGCCAAACTCCTGATTCCCCCCTCCCTCTACTGTCCAGCTGACCCAGAGCAGTGCTGGGCAAGGCAGGCTGCATCACAGGGGAAGGCTTGGGAACACCGCTGCTGTGGCAAAATGCCCCTGCCTCACCCCACACTGCTTTGGGTCAGCCCAGAGGAAAGCAGGGCAAGGCAGGCTGCTGCAATTCTGAGGAACATGGATCAAAGTGCCCAATACTTTATTTACTTTTTAATGTACCATACATAGCTTACTACGGCCTTAAAATTAGCTGTCTCTACAATATGCATATTTGAAAGTATTAAGAAGCGAGACATTACACATTTTTCTTTCAAGTCACTACAGTACCTCACCTGGACAGTCATACTTTAAAACAAAGAGAACTTTCCAGTTTTAAAGTGCAACAGTTCTGCTACAGAGCAATTATGAAAATTCAAGTGACAAGCTACACCAGGAACAGATTTCTTATATAACAGTGCAACACTGAAGTAATACATACCAAATTATAAATATATATTTAAGACAAAATACAAAAACATTTAGTGTTGTGAATATTTAGGATGAGTGGGAAACTGCAGTTACTATCTACCTTCTCAGATTTATTCTTGAAATATTAAAAACAAAACCAAAAGGGTGCACAGCCTAAGGATAAATTTAAACAGTGGTTCTTCAATCTAATGAGCTCTGCTTGAGAAAGCCTTGCACTTGTTAACATAATTGAATATTATAGGTTAAAAAAAAGTCAATCCAGTTAGGATAGATGTTGTATGTGCACAAGTCACATTTACTTAAAGAATTCCAGTACCAATTCTTATACCCTGTAGTTTATAGTTTACATATTAGCCTTTTTTCTTATACGATATGTCCAAGGTTGATAATTAATCCATATATTCCAAATGAAATACATTTCAATGGAGACAAAGAAATGTCCCATTTGTTCTATATCCTTTTTTCAGATAAAACTGAAGCCAAGTTTTGCTTTTAACCCTCTTTAGTCTTTCATTGAACATTACTGTATTACCAGCATTTTTGCAAAGATAGACTACATGAGACAAACAGCTTATAGTACAGTTAAAAAAAAAATTAAGATATAAAGCTTTGCAGTCTTAATTTCTTGCACTATTTCAAGCCTCTGATTTTGCAGGGCTTTTCAGTTATCAAGGTGTAGGATCAAGTCCTTAGGCAACTGAAGAACAGTTCTTGGCCACTTAAACCAACAGATTCCTAACTGGATTATTCTACTGAATGCAGAGATGTTACAAATGAATTCAGTAAGTTATACATATTAGTATAGCAGCATTTTCCATAAGTCAACATATCCAAAGTAGCTAATACCAAGCAATTCATAAAAAGATAAAAAACTTAAAAAGTCTGGGCATCTCATTAAACCTGAATCTTACTCAGTTAATTCAAATGTTTACCAAATTGTTGTGGGACAGGCTTCATTGCCCTCTTTCTGTACTCTTGAATTGCTAGTGCAGCGACAAAGTGTGTATGTATGTAGTAGTATAAAAGCCCTCTATTTAGTCAGTTTTCAATACTGTTCCCATATGAATAAATCAGTTTTCTGTACACTTTATCCCAGTTTTTCACCCATTTTAGGGTGCGATTTATATTAATCCTAAACCCACCTAATTTTAAAGGGCATTTTCTCCCTACTTCAAAAATTCAGGGAAAAACGTGGGACCACATGCAGGGAGCATTTTAGCACTACATCTATCATAACCAGATCTTGAAGGCTTCTCTTTCCTACTCCAGATAGGGACCTCCTCTGATGACACTGATGTGGCACAGCATCTAATTTCACAATATTCCCTATTGCTGGCAATATAAGCTTGGCCAGACTTTCTATACATCTGTCCTCAGACTCAAAACACAGCTAGCCTGGATCAGAGGAAACAAAAGGCCAATGCTGGACCATCCCTGCACCAGATTTTACTTTACTGATGGCCACAATCAAGGCATTTAAATTACATCTGGCTGCATTAGGCTGCAATAGAAGCTTTTTATTTATGATTGTAAAGATTCACTCTTTCTTCTTGACCACTCCAGAACCAAAAGACACTTAAAAAAAAAAAAAAAAAGTACACCTTAACACACTGATTCTATCAATGAGAACTAACCAGCACTATTTACAGAACTGATTATTTTGGCTCCAAAATTGAAAAAGGGACCTACACAGGTACAACTGAAGTCTCTCACAACCCCTAGCAGGATCAAGGGGCATCAATACTGATGTATAAAAATGTTTAAGAACATGTTTTAAATTAAACACACGTGTCACATTTAGCTCCATGTATGACAAAAGGTTTGTAAAAAAGATACAATATTTTCAAACTTCAGACACTACCAGAAACAGGTTACTTAAATTGCCTTCTTTAAGATATTTAATACTTCATTGCCAATTAACTAGACTGTCCTTATTTTTTAAGAAACTACACTGGAAGAGAAGGCGACATAAAAACCTTCACACCTGTTCATTACAAAATACTGACCTCAAAAGAAACATGATCCGTTACTAATTAGCCAAATTTAGAAGTCATCATTTCTAACTAAAAAAAAAAGAAATAAAGAAAAAGGTTCTGGTACTTGAGATCAAAAGATAATCTGCCCTCCTCCCCCAATCAAAAGGCATTAAAGATCTGAAATTATATTATGCTTGTCACAATGTGACGTTTTGAACCTGACATTCAGGGATTTACAGAAGCCATTTACTCAGCGAGAAGACAGCATTTTGTCATGAGAAAGGTTACAAGAATTCCAGTGTGGTTCCTGTTTACGTAAATCACCTATACTTTAAAGGGGCCAGGGAGGGCAAGGAAGGATACATTACTTTGTTCTCAGAGAATTACTTTAAATCTGACATGAAGTGAAAGAGCTCAAGGGAGATTCCGGTAAATACTGCCAGCTGAACTACACTTCAAGACATGCCCAATATATTTAAACTCATTAAACTTGTGTGCCTGCAGTTTAATTTTGTCCAACATACAACATAGATTTTTACTTTAAAAAAACAAAACAAAAATAACCAAACAAACAAAACCCTGGTAGAACAAGCAGTAACTATACGCTTTATAATATAGTCCACATTCAAGTAAAACTTTTATCCCATCCAAGAGATCTGTGTGCGCATAAGTACTGCAGCAAGCTAACGGAAATACAGCTAAATAAATGGAATTCCAAAACCAAAACAACTAAAACAAAGCCCACCAAAAACAAACAAAAAGATAATACAACTTTCCAGCCTCCAAATCTATGAAGTACTGCATACAGACACTGAGAAGGAAACTCACTATTTAACTAGAAAAATCTGACCCGTGATATTGTTAAGGTAGTTAAAAAAAAGAAAAAGAGAACTAAAAGTGTAAGAACTGGAGTATAATTTAACTTGTAGATGTCCTTTTTCTCAAATATGCATATGTCTAGCTGGATAGATGAAAGTGTCGATAATGAACATTGATTGTGCTATAAGATGACAACTGCTGTACTTAAATTTCATACATTTTTTTCTAGCAAAACAATTTGATAGAAATGCCAGTATGTTATAAAAGTAAACATAAGGGGATACGCAATGTTCATTAATTGTGGCTATATACATTTTACATCTTATCCCAGCCTCCTCTCATAACTGAATAAGCATTTAGGATTGCTAATCAACTTCCCATCCACAGTCTCCCGCCCCTTCAAGTAACAAATCTGATCAGTTCTACTTAGATGAACTCTGGCAGGATGAACAGCCATCTCCTTTCCACATTATCCACACTGCCACTTCTATTGTGGAGGTTGAAGTACGTTTAGATATTCTGACTGGCCCAGCTGGTAAGTTGTGTTTCCTCCACAGTCTACATACTGGTACCTCTCCTGGGATATTTGCTCAGAATGGCCAAAGTAAGACGTTGTCACAGTCACTCTTAGAATAGAAAGGAAAAAAAAGCAGTATATTATTTGGCGCTCTCACAAATGTATTTTCCAGAGTCCATAAAACCAAAATACAGGTTATTCTTCAAAACTAAAATGTAAGATTTGTTTTGCATTTAACATTAGAAAAAAAACAAAGAAAAAACCAAAGCTTAGGAAGTACTCAACCCAAGGAGCAGCACTGAGGATATGTTCAAGGCAGTTATAGAAGTTTATAATCCCAGCCTCTATTATTAATCACTCCTTTGCACATAATATGTACATCTTTACATGAAAGTCACACCCATCCTCAGTACTGCCCACCGCCCTCTGCTGTCAACTGAAACAAGCAACTGGCATTCACTATGCATAAACAAAGAGAAGAAAAAGGAACAGCTTCAGGCTTCTCATAAAACAGAGGTTCCCAACCACCAGGCCATGAAGGGTTGGCTGCCAGGTCATGGCATGAGCCCCCCCAGGCAAGCAGCTTCTGGGGCATGCTGGGTTAAAGCTGGGGGAGAGGGCAGCCCTGGGAGGGAGGCAGATGGCTCTGTGCATCCCATCTTGCTCCCGTGCTGGCCCACAGGAAAAAGGTTGTGAACCACTGCCATAAGAGAAGCTTTTTTGTTTTGTTTTGTTTTGTTTTTTTGGGGGGGTGAAATCTGGCCATAACTCAACAAAATCTCACTGAAAAAGAAAGAGAAAAGAGAAAGGATTAATAGCACTGTGGTTGGAAACTTTTTATTTCTAGGACCATCATTCAAAAATTTCCCTACACTACCAGGTTCCCTGCTGATAAAAGGAGGTACAGATTTCAATAAAAAAAATTTTGTATAGTTGTCTTTAAAAATGATTGAATTTAAAAGCTAATAAAGCAATTATTAATAGTTTACATAACCATGCATTTGAAAGTTATATATTTAGTCTTAAATCTTCTACTTTAACAAAGAGTAAATAAATGGCATTGCGAGCAACTTTTTTGCTTACATGAAAAAATATTCATACTTACTGCATCATGACTACTATGTTATGAACTTTAATAGATATTAAGGTACAGAAATCACTAAAACAAAAGAAAAACAAAACTCATTAGACTTCAAATGAAGCAAGATTAACAAGTGAAAAACAGAAATAAAAACCATCTTCATCAATCAAAAGTTATTTACACCATTCTTGGTCTTTATCATTATATTTAAAAGTAGTCCATAAGAAATATTAAGTGTTCTTGTTTAAACAACTACCGCAAATAGACCAAAGTACATAGTCATCTTCTTTACATATATCACACTAGAAAGGGGCATATATTTTCAGTCTAGCTAAAAGTCTAGCTCAAAAGTTTTAGAAACAGCAACACCAGCATTGATACAAGAAGTTAAATTAGATCAGGGGTTTTCAACAGGGGGTACGCATACCCCTGGGAGTACACATGGGTGGGTGGGGATGGAGTGCTGCTATGAACCATCTTGCGCTGCCGCGCAGGCGCTACCGGCCCAGCTTGACATGGGGGAAGCTTGCATGTGGTGGCTGCCCCCAGCACCTGGCCACCAGGTGTACAGTGCTCCGCATCCAGCTGCCAGGGGTACACTGCACCAAAAGGGCTGAAAACCCCTAAATTAGATGAACAAGGGGTTGGCAACCTAAGATTTGCAGTCATTTGATTCAGCCCAAAGGTGAAGTTTCAAAAGGCACTGGGCATTTGTCCCTTGCTGCCACAGGGGGAAAGCAGAGACAGCAACTTCTGTGATCTAGCAACTGCATGTCTCTGCCCCCAACTGGGTTACTTCAGCCAGCAACCTAAGAACAGTTGCCAACCACCAAAATGAATGTTGGAGATTCCTACCAACCCTATGAATCTATAAAAGGCATTTATCTTTCTCCTTCTGTCCTTTAAATAGGCAGTTGTTTCACAGCATGCTTCTTTCAGACACTGCTTACTAGAACCCAGCATTTTAAAAATAAAAAAGTTAGAGAGAAAAAACAAACAAAACCCAATAAAACTGTTTACTAAGCAGACATTCCCCGCTCCCTTTAGAAGTTCTCTCTTCTGACTCGGTCTAGTTATATATTTCTCAACTCAAAGATGGAGGGGGGGGGGCGGAAAAAAAAAAAATCACAGAAAAAGGATATAAAAATTAATATTTATCAGGTGTTTCCTCTTCACAAAAAAGGAAGAGAGCAGGTAGTAAAGGCAGCTCCTATTCAAATACTTTTAGGTTTGGCATTTTCAGTACTTCAAAATGTAAAAGGAGTTGGAATGTCTCCAAATCCAAATTTGTTATAACAAAGAACTTGGTCAACACAATGACACCACTGAAGCAAGAGATGGTCTTGAGTTCATTCTCTTAGGAGTCACCTTGTTTACAGGGTTTAATACTATTTAAAATTTTAATATTTCCAAATGATGTTGGATTAAAAATATAGTTGCATAATACTCATGCCAAGTGTGAGGTCAATTGCCTGCTGCCCATTAGCACAGTAGGCAAAAAACCGTGCTAATGCATTAATGCACAACAGAACTGGTCTACTACACATTTGTGTCACTTAATATGTGCGCACCAGCGCTACTGCGCATTTAGTTAATACCCGTTATTACAGGTACTAAACCTATAACCACTGTCATTAATGCACACGTAGATGTCAATACATTCTTCTGCTACTGATGATCCTACAGAGCAGTTCTAATTCGAAAGAGAGACCAAATAAGTTCGCTCAGAAGTTACAATGAACAGATACTCAAACTATGGTTCAACTGTAATCCCACAGTATATCTACTGTCCAAACAAAAGTCAAAAAGCTACTCATGAAGTGTTTTAATAAGAAAGTTACTAAAAAGCAGTACATTAAAACAACTGATATTGGATACCAAAGCCCCGAAATGGAATGGGATCAAATCACTTGCTTGTTCTAGTACAGCAGTTCCTAATTTATTACATAATTCAGGAAATGGCTTTACTCAAGTATTTTCAGTACTTTTAAAAACAGGTATAGGAAATGCCACTCAAAATATAGCAGTGCAGTAAGGCCATTTTTAGTTATCACGCTACCTAGCTTGTTTAGTACGAAGTTGTACAAAAAAGGTTTTATTTTAGAAGCCAAACACTTACTACATGTAGCTCATTTCATCTTGTATGACTGTGGGCACCATATAATCAATCTGGAAAACAAAACCAAAAAAAACATTATACTGGATTATTAGAAAACTCAAGACCAAACACATCCTCTCTCAAAAACATATCCACGTTCACCTGTTTCATATCCAGTGGACCAATGTTGGTGATGTTGTTTAGCCGTGCCTTCCCAATAACTGTTTTTGAGAACTGAACTTGGGCTGTAATATTTGCCACTTCAACAGAATAATAATTGTTGTTTGTTATGTTTAGTGCATTCTGCAAAAAGACAACAATTTAAAAATTATCACAGATTTCTTAAGCAAATTTAAGTACTTAGTTACAAAACATTAAACTGATACATAAGTTTTTCTTGATTTCAGGCATTTTCCTGCCTACTAAAATCAAAGTATTCATAACTGTCTGGGGGAAAAACATCCTTTTATGCTTTTGAAAAGAGCCATTAAAAAGAAGCATGAATCCCCCCATTCTTGGCAGTGGGACTCGCCCAAAGTAAATTAACAACCTTGTTTCTAAAGCAGGGATGGACAAAGTCCAGCCTACGGGCCAGATCCAGTCAACCGTGGACTCTGTCTCAGCTGCCCCCCCTCACATGGCTTGTGATGGTTTTCATGAAGGAAACCTACTTGCGTACCCGTCCAGAGCATGCAGGCTACAGATCGTGATTCTTCCCAGGCTCCGCAGCAAGCTGCTCCCACCCCTAATTCCCAGTGGCTCTGGAGCAGTCCCTTGTCCTGCTCTTTCACACACCTTGCCAGTGTGGCTGGGGCTAGTCTCCATGGCAACCTCAGCCTGAGCTTTCCCAAGCAGGTGCAGCTGGGGTCTCCATGGAGACCGACACAAGCCATGCAGGTAGGGGCAGCTGGCAAATGGAGTCCAGATGCTGGCCAGATCAGCCATTTTGCCCACCCCTGTTCTAATGGTTACCTTGCATCACAACTGAGAAGCTTCTTAAGCTGACCTGCTTTATCCATCCAGCTCACCATACATTTTTCTAAACATATTGGCTAACATACTTTCAAATACCTGAGGCAAGCAAAGACAATGATAGTTCAAAACATTTTTATTAGTTGCACCTCATTTTTGTAGTCTAGACAGAGCCTTAGACAAGGGACAAGGCAAAATATGGCCTTCAGACCATATCCAGTCTGCCAGGCAATCCCATCCAGCCCGTGGAGTCCCTCCATAAGCCCTGGCCCCTGCTGCTCCTCTGAAAGCTGCTGCCTCCATGCAGAAAGTGCGGCCCCAGCTGCTAAGCAACCAACCCGCAATAAAGCCTGGCTTGACCCACCCCCAGTCCCAAGGTAGGGGGTACTAGAGACAAGAAGCCTCTGCTTGGCAGAGGCTTTTGCCTGGCCACCCTGTGGCTGTTTCCCAGCCTTCTCTCTCTATGGGAATGGAAATTTAGGTAAGGGCTCTACTGGGCCAGGAAGAGCCACTGGGGGAAAAGGGGACTGAGTGCAGGGAGCTGTGCGCTACAGGGCCGGGACAGACTGGCCTGGCATGCTGCAGGAGCTGCACACTATGGAGGTAGATGGGACTGGCCCTGCATGCTGTCATCAAGTGCAGCTGGGGACTCGGACATGAGTATTACTGGGCTCAGTGGGGCTAGCCCTGCATGCTGTCACCATGTGCAACCAGGGACTTAAGTGGAAGCTGTATTATGGGGCTGAGTGGGGCTGGCGCTGCATACTGGTGCTGGGGAGGGAGCACAGGGAGCTGTGCGCTTTGGGGCTGGGGGGAGTGGGCCTGGCCCTGTTTGCTGCCACCACATGCAGCTCCAGGGACCCAGAGGACCCACCCCCCACCATATATACATCCTCCCACATACCACACCATACCACTAAACATACCTACATCCTCCCACCATAACCCCGAAGTCCCACCTCCCCCTATACCCACACCTTCCTGCCCCACCCACATACACTCCACCCCCCATACCATATCCCACCTCACATGCTCTGCAATCACACCCTCCCCACATACACCCCCTTACTCTTGTCTGTTGCGTGGAAGTGGGTAAGACTATTTTGAGTTATTATGCAATCAGTTCTAGATACACTACAAACATACGCATCAGGACAAAAATGGTTTTTAAATAAAATTAAAATATGTTATAGTAGATGTTTAATTTTTTTTTTTTGTATACAATTTTTTTTTTTTTTCCAGTTTCAAGGTGGCAACCTCACCCACTCCTGAAAAAGAGTACTTCTGGAGCACGGGGAGGGACTTCTGGTGCCAAAGGTCACCGGGTGGGACTTCTGGTCCCAAGATAACAACCAGGGGGAGGGCACCTGTCAAGGGGTGGGGCTACCCTTGCAGCCCTTGATACCTCACCAAAACTTTTTATTTTGGCTGGAGGGCCACTTAACATTGTCCCCTTCCTCTCCCCCTGCCTTAGACAGTAAGATGAGGGTGTTAGCAGGGATAGGGACTAGCATACTTCTGGATTGTTCAGCTCTTTTTATTTACATGGAGAGTTAAAAGAAACTCATCTTATGTGGAACAGAAGTGAATTCACTAGGTTTTCAGCAAGGAATTCAATAAAGGCATTAAGAAAAAAAACAGGAAAATAGAATCAACTTCCCAAATAACAGGAAGCCATGGATCTGTATCACATATACTGCATGTAGAACACTCTGGGCAAATTCATCAACGTAACAGAGCCAGTTTTAGCCCCCTCACAAGAGTCTCTCCAGATTGCTGACTGAAATCACATGTTGAAGAAAAATGGCACCGACCATTCTAATATTGAACAAAGACAGTGGAATGGATCATTTTTCCCCAAAGCCACTTTGACAACTGCAATAATTCAGGCTGTCAATAGAAGCCTCATTTGATGCAGCTCTGATTTTCCCAGGGTTTGACCCTGACCAAAACAGGCACTGCATAATCCTTTACACACATCATGCTTCCAAGCTGCATTGCTGAGCCTTTGCCAGTAGGTAGCCAACAGGAACACACAACGTAGTCAGGTGAACTTCACAGTATCCATACAATCCAGTTAAAGGCAACAGGACCCATACAATGCAGTTAAAAGGCAACAGGATCCAATGCATGAGCCACACAACTGTGCTACCTGCCATGCCACGTGCATGGCAGAAAGTGACTGCGCATTAGATCCTATTGTGCCTTATTGCCAGTGCACTTCCAGAGCTAGGGGACTGCCTCATCTGCCAGCCACAGGAGTGAGTGGGGGATCTCCCGCAGCTTGGATCCCCTGAGCCAAGTGGGCTCCCAGCTATGAATACGGGGCTCCAACCTGATGTGTAGCAGACTCTCCTCTGCAAAATTAAAGCTGTAAAGCTATAAAGTTAGTACACAGTTGAGGCCTAACTTGGATTTTTTATGGCACAAGTACTTTGTATATGTAGCTGGTTTCACTTAGTTGCACAATTAACCAGCTAACTGTGTAACACCTATAACATGTGTAAGGGGCCCACAGTAGTTTTACCACTGCACATGATGTACCAGGAAAAAGCATTACCACATTTTATCCTGCAGACTTCAAGAAAGACTTGAAGCAGAACAAAATACTTGTATATCTGTAGGGTCCCAGAACAAAAAGGCTTTTCCCCCAGAACAAACGGATTATTTATTTACAGCCCTGACAACTCTAGAAAACTAAAAATCTTTTTCATCATTGTCCAGATCTTAGGCACATCCTCCTGAAGGGGAGGAGAAAGAATCTTACAGATTTTACAATTAGGTTAGGGTGCAAAAACAGGTATTGTCTGCCAAATATCCAGACCTGAAGAAAATCTGATAAACATGGGCATAGGAGATCGATTACATGAACCAGAAAGAGAACCCAACCACCATCTTTATACTTCATGTGAAGCTGCTACTACAACATATGCTTACTGTTAAAATAACATTTACATAAGTGTTATAACACACACAAGTTTAAGCAGTAAAAATGTATTAGAGGAAAATTGTTTACAACACATATTTCAACAATAAAGCTTGTTAACAGATGATCTTACCGTAATATTTAGATATATAATACGTCTACTTGGCTCATAAGTGACGTATACTGACTTTACACCAACATATTCCACATCAATGGACCGAGGGAATAAAAAGAACACAGCCAGTCCAGACAGGAGTAAGCATACAATTACAGAAGCCGTCACGTAAAGTTTTCTGAGAAACAAAATGTTAAGTTTATTAGAATACCATTATTAAAGCAATGAAAATTACTCCTTTTTCTTGATGATAAGAGCACTAAGAATCAAAGTGATTTTTCCATTTCAACCTTTCACTAACTCCTTTAGTTGTGCACAAACTCTTTCCCAGGTTATACAAGTATCAAGCCTCAAAACAGATGGATGTCTTGTTCTTCATCATCTTAAGTCTAATGTGAAGTAAAACATATTTAAGAACAACGTAACTAAGTATTGTGGAAGTGGGAGGCTAAGTAAAACTTCTCATAAGTCTATCAGAGATAACTACACTAATAAAATATTAAAGCATGTCAATGCATAGAAGGACGACTCCTATGGACCTGGTATAACACCTCTTCTAGGAAACAAAATGCTGGAACTAAATGGAAGTGCTTAACTAGCTTATATGCCTGTTTGAGAGCAATGTTCTCTCAGCTGGTTTCCTGAAAAAGAAAAAAAAATGGAAAGAATTCTCACAATAAATCCTAAGGGGATACACTTGGATTTTTTTAAAGTGATCTAGGTACAAAACCAAAATCTTGAAAGCCAGCCTACCCAGTTATACGGGCAGTCCTCGAACTTAAGACACAATTGGTTCCTGAAAACCATGTCTTAAGTCAAAACGTTTCTTATGAGAAAATTGGTTCCAAGTTGCAACAACGTTATAAATGGGGGATTGGTTCCTGAACCAAGGCCTGATACTCTATTTTCACTAAAAATACCCCAGAATTTTGTACTCGGTCAATTATAGATGAGTAATATAGCTGCATTAAATGTATTTATATTGTAAACAGCAATCATATTGATTTAGAAGGACTTCTTTGAAGTGACTTTGCAGGACTTTTTGAAAGGCTCTTGGCTGGAGTCTTCTCAGGAGTCTTGGCTGCAGGTTTTTCTAGAGTCTTGTCTGCTTTCTTAAAGAAAGTGTCCAAGGAAGTTTGGACAGATGTTCTCCAGGGAGATGAGCAATGCAGAGAACTTGTTCGCTGGCAGGGCATCGCATCAGAGCAAGTGTTGTAAAGTTGAAACTGATGCCATGAAGTTGAAACAGGGTGTCAATTTATAAATGTTGGAAGTGTGAAACATTGTAAGTCGAGGACTGCCTGTACTGAGATATTTACTCAATTTAGATTAGGATTTAAAGTCCTCACAATTTCTCTCTATAATATGAAAGAATTTTCAAAATCCTACCAAAAGGGGGGGGGGGGGGAAGTCACCCCACCCACATAACAATAATTTAGTTCTATTAATCTACTGCAGACAAATAGTCAAACATAGCATTAGTAAAACAAATTAGGTGTACAAAAGTCAAAGTGGACGGGCACTTTAGAAAGGAGATTCTTAAAGATGAGGAAATATCTGTCTATGTATATATAAAGGCACATAGTACCTATCAATGTTTGAGTACAAAGTAATAGTAGTTTGATGACAACTACATCTATCTGAATTCAAACTGGCTCCCTATTTAAACACCCCAATAATTAGATTTTACATGTGGAAAATTTATGAAGTGTTACAATTAGATTTTATACGTGAAAAACTAGTGTTATCTTAACTATGACCCTCGCTGCTGCAGCAAGAAGAGCAGTAGCAAGTAGGAAGGTGGAAGGAGTTGGGGGGGGGGGGGGGGAAATTA